TTACTTCATTAGATTAGTGTCATGGGGTTTTTTACTTATATTTCTTCTCCTTATTAGGTTGGGGGAATTAAAGACAAAGTCCTGGCAGCACATCGAGCTGGCCTGAAGAGAATTATAATTCCTCGAAGAAATGAAAAAGATCTTGAAGAAATCGCAGTGAACGTACGGCAAGATCTGACGTTTGTGATGGCCAGCTGCCTCGACGAAGTTCTTAATGCAGCTTTTGATGGAGGATTTGCAGTTAAGCCCAGAGTTGAGCGTTTGAATAGTAAACTTTAAGCAGACAGGCTGAGATTCCTTCTGTGTCAAATCTAATAGAGTTCAATAACTACCAGCTACATATGTATCAAGTACAGCTGAGCTAAACTCGATTGTTTAAGTGTATGTAAAAATGCAATCAAAATAAAAAATGTTACTTCAGCAGTTAACAACCCAAAACCACATTTTACAGGCACGTGCTGCTTTTTAGTGTCATCAGCAAAGAGTCTTGGAAAAAAATACTCATTTCCTGATAGCTTCAAGCCTGAGGAAGCTGAAGCTGTTGAGAAAGAATTCCTTAGCTTATCTGGCATCTCTGTATAGGAACGGCTGCTGCGATCACCTCTTCAGAGAGGACACCCCCGCACACGGGAGCATTGTGCACTTCCGTGAGCTGTGTTCAGAGCGCGCAGATCGCGGCAAACACAGACAGTGAGAGTCTAAGAAATGGGGTTCTTACCAAAAAAGCAAGCTGAGTTTACTTATTTAGGAAATAACATTCACTGTGCTAAGGAACAGTAGCATCACAGGAAAAATAAGGTTTCTGAAATCTAAAAAATTTGCTTAAGGGATTTGAACAGAAGCAATATTGTCTAAATGAAGTTTCTCAGGTCTAGTTTGTAGCATGGTAAATGCTGACATCGTTTTTCAAACCTAAATGCAGGAGCAATTCGGGATCTGAAATGTACTGGTACCTGTGGAAAGAGCGAGAGGAGCACTGGGTGGGTGTGTGGGTTTGCACTCACAGCCCAGGGCTGGATGAGCACATGTGAGGACTTTGTAAAAAGGCCTGGTGGGCTTTGTGGAGGGGCAAAGTACACAGCCTGCATCTGCACCTGAGACAAGCCAGCTTGATTCTGGGACGCCTGTGTTCAGAGCTTACCCTATGAAATTAAATCCATTTAACAATGCTGAGGAAATACTGGGTCATTAAATTGCACTGGGTGCTGTATACTGTGAATTAATTTAAGGTTTAAGAAAGTCCGTCTGTATCGCATCTCAGCCTCTAGCCGTGTCTCCTCTTTTCCCTTGAATGTTGTGAAGACAGAAACTTAAACTGCTGTAATGTAAGAAACATCCTTGAGTTTTTAAGTGTTGTATACTTAGGGTCAGCTACAGGAGAAACCCTGGTGTGTTACAGTCTCTTCTTGCTCATTAATTCTGAAACAAACCCAAGTGTGCTTATGAAATGCAAAGGGTAGCAGTGACAAAAGCCTGCCACCAAAGTAGCCTATGAACGAAAAGCAATGGTTTGCTTTGCTGTGATTTCCAGATAGAAAGCTGATTTACCTGGAATATAATAGCACTGATAGTAATAAATTCTATGGGTATCTCTGCACCTGATTTACAAAAGATTTTACAACTTTCACAGAAGACTTCATCTATTAAAATTATTTTAAAAAACCCCACCAACTTCTTTTGTGTCACTATTTTAAGAGTTCTGCTCTTGGTCATTCACTGGCCCAAGTTCCAAGGGCAAGAGGCAACACACAGTCTCAGCGTACTTTCTGCTTTACCAAATACTTGAACTCAAAAAGTACAAAGAAACCAACCAGTGAAACACCAGAAAGGTACAGTAACTGATGTGCTGCTTTGTCTTTAATCAAAACCAGTATGGGGACAAAAAAAAAAAAAAAAGAAGAGTTCTTTACCAAGTGAATGCAGATCAACCAACAGTCCTGCGCTGCGCTGCGCTGCGCTGCACTGGTGGGAGCACAGACGTGCAAGGAATGTCAGAGCAGTCTGTTTATACACGTAGAAGAAAAAAGGCATCTCTTTTTTTTTTAAGAGAGTAAGTACCGTACACATTTCCAGAGCAGTTTCGCTACAGCACAACAGGGAATTGCTGCCAAGGAAAGTTAAGCACTGACAACCACACCACTCTAATTCATGAGTCTTGTCCACACACACTTCATCCAAAAGGGGACAGTGTGATGCCCCTTCTGGAGATACAAGCAGGCGTTTACTTACACTTCATGGTCCTGCAGAGCTGACTTGGTCATGTTACCATGTTCAGACTTTTTTTTAACCAAAACATAAGCATGACCCCATTGTATCAGATACCACAGACACTTTAGTGCCTTCTCTTGCTTTCACTGAGCACTGTCAAGACGAATATCAATCTGTGCAGCTGCATGCCACAACAGCAAAGAACTTTTCCCATCATTTCAATACACTGGGGATTATCCTGCTTTGCAACTGACAGTTAAATGGAGCTGATACTAAGCACGTGTCCCTCAGAATATACCATAAGCTAGCTGAAGCTTATCAAAGGTAAAAAGCAAGCAGTGCTATCCCCAGTGCATAGCGCTACAGACAGTAACTCTCCCACCAGTGCAATGCATGCTTTAATCATAGCAGCTTTGAAGATACTGGATCATACAACCACGCAGGCAGCAATACAGCACAGTTCATCTGCTTTAATTTTAAAGCACTGCTGCAAACAAGAACTGGCAAGAGATGTCAAAACAGAACCCAAATATTAACATCCACATTTCTCAAACATTTTCCTGGTAAGGCTTGCTTTTTGCCTTTTTTTTTTTTCCCAAAGGGCAATGAAGAACAATGGAGGTGGTGCCATGGGACAAATGCAAGAGCTACTGCATCGCATTGCACTTCATTTGTTAAAGACAAATTTGAATACTATCTCCCAGTACAGCAAAGTAAAACAGTACTTTCTAAAATAAACAGCTAATGTTAAGACAATGCCAGGCTTTAATACACCATTTATTTTAGATAAGGTAGTAAACCGTACAGACTTCTAGTATGTTTTCTTATTCCGTACATAACAGAGTGTAGTTGACTTACCAGATCCTCAGACTCTTTAGAGGAGATCCACTGAATTAGGCTTCTAACACTTCTGAGGATCTGAGCCAAAGTATAACTTGGTTTAGTCACTGCAGCTGATTCCTTTTTCAACACCAAATGGAGCAGCACTAGCTTACAGGAAGGCAGCACACATTAGTTACGCTACAGCATTTGTCATCTGTAAAACCCAAACAAACTGACCACAGCGCTTAGCTGCCAAAGCTCATTACAAATGCAAGTTTTGAAGTCGCCTTCAAAAGTATCATCTTGATCTTCAGCCCATTCCAGCCCAAATAAAATCACTGCAGAGCAGCACAGGGCTTTCAGATTCCCAGTGCTTTTGGCCAGTTGCACCATTCGGCAGCCAAGCAGCAGCAGAGAAGAGCCCGACACAGCCCCGCTGCTCCCCAGCCGTCACCATCAGCGTGCGGAGGGGCTGGGCCGGATCTCCCCAGCACAACCGCGGGCTGAAAATCAGACAACTCTGGCAGGCAAACCTCAGTCCACGCCAGCCCCTCAGAAGTGAGCGAGCGAGAGGGCGAGTCAGTGCATTCCCCTAAAATCACGTGAGCTATTCAGCCAAGTTTCTGTCAAAGACCGGAAGACAAACCTGAGGTAAATGTAGGCAAGCTTAATTAGGTGAGAGCAATTACTGAATTTAGAAGACAGCAAACAATTAGTTGTCTATATAAGCAAAAAATGCTAGAGTGCAGGATTTGTTTTGAAGCATTTCTCTACAGTCACAAGGTGAAATGAAATCGGTGCGGTTTGAATGGCCTTAATAGCAAATTTTAAGTGAAACTTTTTACATTCGCTACATGAAGCCAACTATTTCTGTAGTATTTTATTAATCCAACCTGATGGAATTCCTGTTTCTTACCTGCAGAACTACTTACCTCATCATGCATCAAAATGGTAAGAGCTGTCTTAATAGATCAAGTTGATAAAACAGTTAAGAGAGTGCACAGTGACTAAACTGTATTTAATGTGGTACAAACGCAGGGAACAGCCAGACTGCCTGCCCACACAGGTGCCCACTGCCGTGAGGCTTGATGAAGATTTCCTTCCAATAGCTTGAGATGAAACAGCTTTTCACCTGACTACGTTCTGTCACACAAATAGCGCATACATTCACAGTTACGTTTTTCACACATAGGCAGTCTGCATGAAGCCCAAGAAGCCTCTCTGGCTGGTGAATCACACCCAACGGGGATTATTTGCACTGTCCTGTGCATCGTGTCACTAAAATGATATACAAAAAAAGCAGTTCCAGGCAGTTACTTCAGTGATAAGCAAAAGACGTTAACACAAGAAGCTGAGCAATGTGTCAAACTTTGAGCTAAAGCAAAAAGCGAAAGTTGGGGTTTTTTTAATTTTTCAGGAATTCTTTTAATGACAAATATAAAAAGACCAAAAACATCTCATTCTGCCTGCCTTTAAAAACAAAACAAAACAAAACAAAAACAAAAACCAAAACCCAAAACGAAACCAAACAAATGGTCTGTTTTTATAGTTACAAATACTGCGTCGGACAATACCTTCTCTGTACTGCAAAACCAACAAATACAAGGATGCAATCCAGTTTCCAAGCATCTCTGAATTTGAAACATGACTTCTTTTTTTTTAAATTCGGAAAATTCTCAATAATTCATTTTTGTCAGAAGGTAACTCAAGGTACAACAACATCCAGACCTGTTTTTAAAGGAGCTTTCTTTCCGGATACATCTTTGAACATCATGACTCCTTTCGAATTCAGTACATTCACAAAATCGCTCAATTAAGAACAGTATCACCAATGAACTGACTACTGGAAAGAGACAAAATTTACCAAACATACAGAAATAGAAGTTTTACCATAGCAATTATGCATATATCAAAAGATGACACCTGTAATTAATTTTTTAAAGATACAAAAAAGAGAAAAACCTGAATTACAGAAAAGAAAGTCATATTTATTTAATGAAAAACTAGAAGTTAATAAAAATTAGCAAATACACAAAAAATATACACAAACAGCAGCAATACTATGTAGTGACTTACAAAGGGGGGGCGGGGAGGAGGGGCAGCAGTGGCCAGAGACCAGACTGCTCAACATGGCTTGTCAGTCAAAGGGGGGAGGAAAAAAAACACAAACAAAAACACAAAACAGTATCCTTTTCAACAGTACAATCAATCTACAAACAAGATTTCAGAATTATTTTACAACATTTCCTGTAGAATCAATTCTTAATACAAAAGATGCCCATTTTGGGTGTATATATATTTTCAGTGGTTTACTGTTGACTTATTTTAAATATATTAGTATTACTACATGCAACTGCTTCCTGTAATTTAACAGCCTTTCCTTTTATTTACCTTCATATGTGTCTACCCTCCATCTACCAAGTAATTTGTCTGACAGTCAAAGATGGTTACCCTACTTTCTGCTAACTTAAATGCAACGGTTTTAAACACTGGCCTGAAGAGGTTCGATTGCCATTTCAACACATGGATATAGTTACATTGATGCCTAAATTGCCATTTTCTGCAAAGAGCTGTGCAATGCTGGTGTCAAAGACTAGGCAGTCACTATTCATAATGGCTGTTGCAATTCCCTCATGAATAGACCGAGGAGTTGCTTCCCAAGTCAATCGCCGCCTATGACCATTCAACTCGAGTCGGTAAGCAAAGTTTTCTGCTTGCTTGCGTGTTCCTATCAGCTGTACAATTGCAAAGAACTGCTGGTGACCATCATATTTCTCCTGTTTCTCCAATACTAACATGAAATGAAAGCCAAAGCAAGACTGCATCATAACCCAGTCAACAGCACCCGGAAGATTAATGTCTGTAGCAAGGAACACTATATCTTCTCCCTGAAGCGTTGTAATCGACTTATGCTGATGCATCAGATGCGGCATTACAGCATCCAGAGAACCTTGCCATTTACACGAAGCACCGGGACACGGACAGGAGTAAGGCCTGAACTCACAGAGATCCTCGTGGTCTGCTTTTTCTGTGTGCGGCAAAGTTATCTCACATCCGGAAGAGGCGTATTTACATGGGAACAGTACGGAATTGGCAACTTTCTCCATAGCCAGGTTCCGAATGGAGCCCAGCGGGCCTCGGCAAGTTGGACAGCACGTAAGTTTGGGGCGACAGTTGCTACAAACGAGATGGCCACTCTGACACTGGAGAATTGGTGGCAGCACATAGTCAAAGCACACAGGGCACTCAAAGAGACTGGCCAAGTCATTGTTGGAAGCTGTGGTGCCAGTCAGCGCAGGTACCCGCTGCGATGGCGTGCACTTTGAAGTACCTGTAGGTAGTGCTGTGGCAGTCTGACGGCTCATTTCTGTAACAGAGGAGAGAAAAAAGAATGAGCATCTAAACACATTTTATTTTCCTCTGCACACAGTATCTCTTGATTTACAAAGAAAATCTGTACCAATGAAAGCAAAACCATGATGTCATGCACACTGTGGATACGTTGTGTGTACAACAGCAGTTGTGCTGCACACAACACAGACACTTGTATGACACACAGATTTAACAAGTGAAGAAGTTCTGCTGATTATTCTGAAGGGGAATTTACCCATTGGAAGCTGCAAGGGAGATGAGTAAAGACGTGCTAAAAATGTAACCAAAATCCTCAAAGAAGTTTGTTGCTGGGGGGGAAGGGGGTTTGGGGGCGTCGGGGAGGTTTAATATTGCATTTACAAAGTACTCTGCCCAGATCACCTGCATGTAAGAACTGGAGCACTATGGAACAATTCTAAGGCTGAATTTTAAGATGCTGTGTATTTAGTCAGATGAGAAATTAGCCTTTTTAATGAAAATAATGAACTTCTGGATATGACCTTCTCAAGTCATCACGTTTACTGTATAATTTTTTTGAAAATTGAAAAACAGTAGCAAGATAAAACATAGCTAAGACAAAGGTACACTGCTTTCTTCCCGGGATAGAACAGTGGCTCTTCATTTTCACTTCTCTGTTAGGAAGGCCCACAGCGTGTAAAGCATATCTACTGCTTCAGCTTCCTGAGCTGAACCATTCGTGAAATTGCCACAAAATAAAGACAAAACAATTATTTCATTGAATTTTCCCCAAAGGACAACGAACTAAAAAGATTTAAATTTGAGAATTAATTTTAACATGTAAGTACTCAAACACTTCCAGGAACTCGAAAAGGGGCTGTGCATGAAGCGGAGGTTGCACTGAGGTGCTGTTCTTTCAGCTGTCCCCAGACAAAAGTTAACAGCTGCCTGAGCAAGCAGCTGGCCCAAGCATTCAGCAGATGCAGTAAAAGCACCAGTTCTTCACGTGTTATGGACACTACATGGGTTTCCTGCACCTCCTAACTCTCCTCCTTCTGGTGCAAAAGGAATCACCAGGACTACCAGAAAAAAGAACCATTTACTTTGAATAAGTAAACCTTACCTTCGTAGGTAAATAAAACGCTATCCAAAATTGGCTTTTGTTACACAGAAATTCTCAAGCACCTTCAGTGCTTCCCTGCAACGACACCAGCTCTGCAGCTGTCACTCACGTACAAAGCTCTCACAATCAACCTCATCTTTAATCTCCTTCCTATGTGACATGGGAATATTAGGCAATAGGCAAGCTTCCCGTATTTAGCATCATTTCACCCACAAACTTACTCATCCTTGGACTAGAGACCTCAAAGCCGCATACCTGGCATGCTTTTGCAAGACATGCAGCGCTCAGGGCAGAAGTGAAAGAACCGAGAGATTCCAACACACAAAATAAGTTATCCCTTGACGTTCCGAAAGTAATCACACACAGGCAATGCCAAATTCTTCTACAGAAGCACCTCTCCCCAGGCCAGAGCTAGAAAAACAGAAGTGTCTAAGATTTGGTGTTCAGTCACTGATTTTACGAGCCTCACATGCCCAACGACAACACTGCCTCACCCCTCCAAAGCCTCTCCCTTTATCTCAGACTTGAACTAGAAATATCCAGTTCCCATCTTCAGGGGGAAAAAACCCATACAGTGGTTTTCAATGCTGGGCTTTAACTGATACTGCAGAGATATGACACGAATCTTTGTATCCTCCTGCCTTATCTTCCTACGCTAAAGCCTTCCAGCTCAGATGAAGAGTTTAAGACACCTGTGACAAATGAAATGCGTGTTCTGGGGAAGTGATGCCACACCAGCTGCTGGAGAGGAGACTGAAGCGATAAGGCCTCTCTGACAACCGAGCACTGCTGCTGTCCTTCCGAGCACCCACAGGTGGGAGGCTGACGGTGGCACACTGCAGTGCTATGCTCCACAACAGCTTACACACAATAAATGTACAAACCGAACCGATTCTGATCACACGCTTAACTTGGAAAGAGTCTAGAGAAGTTGCACACATATTCACACGTAAAATTCTGTAAGCGTTTCCTTTCAAATACTGTAAACACACGAAAGGTGTGTCATCTTACCTGAACCTCTACATCCTGACCCAGCGATCCCCAGTAACCCACAGACAACACTGGGGACAACCACTGTGTTAGACCAGTTCCCTAGGCAGTCTGACGAGCTGGGCGAGCTCTGGTTGCTTTAATTACACTTCACAGAGCCCATCCAACAGTTAAATTAAGCAACCCACAAACTTTGCAAAAGACCTTACGCAGATATGTACTTCCAACTTAAGCTTTCTAAGCTACAGAAGCACCAGAGAGGAGACCTGTACAGCCCTGCTTTATCACCCACCGTGTCCGAGTGCACCAGCCTACACACACCTTCCACAGCCGAGGACCACCCAAATGAGCAGGGAATGAAAACCAGCAAGAATCTGTGAACCAGACCACTGAAACTAGCACACAAGGAAGAAACTGGATAAAGCTATAAACTGTAATTTACCAAGCCTAAACCTGCCCAAAGCCTACATTTTCATCACTCTTCTTAACACAAAGATGAATCACGACGCAAAGTTAGAGGAGTTCATTTTTGATAGGTATCTTAAAAACTACAGGTTAATCACAAGTAAGTGTTAATACATTTAACCCACCAAACTACAAACCAAATGAAAACCACTACAGAACTGGAAATAAAGTTTAAAGATAGTTTCAGTTACTAAAACTTTACCACAGGTGAAACACCTGTGTGCAGTATTTGTCACTATGTTACCATTGTTTGCACAGACTGGGAATAAGTCTCTAAGCAACAGTAACAACAGTACAGTAAGTGTCATCTTCAACAGTATTCGTCCCTACAACACAGATTATTCAAAAGATTGTATTTAAGAAGTTTAACCAACAGAAAGAGTGAAAAGGGAAAAATGTATTTTAAAAGTTTCCTAGTCTTAGACCAAGAAAAGCTCTGTCCTTGATGACATCAGAACGCTCCAACCTGTTGATGAAACTATCCTCAGCACTGCTCTGGGGAAGGCTGAGACACCCGCACTGCTGATATCCGCGTGTTCACGGCTCCTACAGAAACAGCTTAGTGCGATGCACGCACAGGTCGCAGAAGGAAGGTGATGCACAGAGGTCACAGAGTGCCCTGTACACACAGGTCGCAGAAGGAAGGCGATGCACACAGGTCTCACCCTTCCCGCGGGTCGTGTCAGGGTCGGGCAGGCAGGTGCACCAGGCCCCCCTCCACCAGCCCAGTGCGCTGCCGGCAGCTCTCCCGGTCATGGGCCCCGGGGCCGC